ACCAATTATCTCACTGCATGTGTTCACATTACTGTCCACTTTCCCCCTGACTCCGTTGCACCACTACATCACGTTTTTATATCAAACATCCAAATATTATCTATCGTGGCTGTTACACTGCATTTTAAACCCAAAATAAGTCTTTAATTGTTAAAAATAAATCATCCTCACAATCCGGATTAAAAGTAACATATACATGTGTAGATTCGTGACTGATTATTTGGCCTGTGGTTATTCAGTTTTGAGGTTTGTGTACAAAATAATAACCACATATTTCTCAGATGCCATAGATTAGCCTTCGGTAGAATAAAACTTATATTTTGTAGCTGGAACAAATACCACATCAGATACGTTGAAATGGATGATTATGTATGTAGCAGATAATCCGAAGATTCAGGCAAAGATACACAAGGAATTAGACGGCTTAGGTAAACATATTCTCTTTTGTGATTATTTTGAAATAGTCACTTAATTCAGTATTACAGAAATCGGTATACTAGTACACGTAGTTGAAATTTTAACAAATTCCACGATGTTTGCATTGTACAATTACTATTGTATTTGGATACTTTGACCCTTTATGAAATTTTAAACAAGAATTTAAGAATTTATTCCATTTTCTACACAGGCAAAGATTTTGACAATCTCCGTCATTGCAAGTCCAAGTTGACTTATTTTGAGGCTGTTCAACGAGAGGTTATGCGCGTGCGTCCTGCTGCCCCGGCAGGTCTTCGACACCAAACCCTCTGTGATACCAAATTAGGTTAGTCATCACACTCATCACCTCCGCTAAGGAGGTTATGTTTTCACCCCTCTTTGTTTGTTTGTTTGTCTGTCATCAACATAATGGACATTATGGACCGATTTTGATGAAATTTTCAGGAACTGTCAGAAGTGGGCCAAAGAACAGATGATTAGTTTTTAGTGGTAATCCGAATCAATAATCAATAAAAATAAAAAAAAATTGCTGCCTTGGCGGAGGTCTGTGCTTTTCTAGTTTCTTTGTTGTTTGGTGTGCATACCAGTTGAGAGCATTTTTCGATCGACTGTTGTAAATTTAGACAGCAGTGGCAGCTTGTCACATTTTTTTATTCCTTGCTTTAAGAATTGACAATTTTAAATTCCCACGTTTCTGCTACTAAAGTCCCCAGTTTAGACGATGATCAGTTGCCTAGCTATTTGTAAACTTAAGCTTTAAGTACAATGTACTTTTGTAGCAATGTACATAATGCGGTAGGAGTTATACTCTTGACAGGACAAGGTGATATGACTGGCATATGTAAAGAGGGATTGCAGTTGAACATGAAATGCACGCAGTAGACACTGATCGGCTCTTGCTTAGGCGTCTATGGTAGGTAAAATATAGGTCAAATGTCAATAAAGTGGTCTGATGGTGGAATATTGATGCCAAGTCTGTATACCCTTATGATTTCTTCGCAGGTGGCTACGATATCCCAAAGGGCACTCTTGTCTATGCAAATTTTTGGACAATCCACAATGACCCGAACATTTGGGAATCGCCGGAGGTTTTCAAGCCAGAAAGGTTTTTAAACAAAGATGGCAGCTTGAAAGAGTTGGATAACAAGGTTTGGGTGCCGTTCAGCAGTGGCAAGAGGAAATGTGTGGGAGAAGCACTCGCCAGGGCAAATATCATGATGATTTCGGTGAGTGCACGTGGGCCCAATCTATATACATTCTGGTACATACACGGTACAGATTTTAGCACATTTATGTGATCTGGACATAGGAGGGGTTTAATTTTTTAATAGTACAGGACAAAGTAGATATAAATTAAACTAATGAGCAATTCATTAGCTTGACATACATGTTATTGTACTAACATATTTTAAATACAATTAAAAAACACAAAGCTTATTAAATTGCATTAATTGATTCCAACCTATGATTATTCTAAACATGCCATCTAAAGAATATTGTAAGGTATATTCATAAATAAGTACATTCATAACAGATAGCATTTATCTATTTATTTGCAGGCACTATTTTTCCGCCGTTTTAAGGTGAGCTTCCCGTCAGGCCAAAAGCCGGACTTCGAGCCTTCAAAACTTTTTGAAATAAGTTGCAGCCCCAACCCTCAGAAGATTATTGTCCATAAAAGAAACTGACGTTTGATGCCACGACGGTTTTCGCAGACAATTTTCAATAAGTCTCTAATTGGGTTGTTATTTGGAAATTAGATGATTAGATGGAAATTATTGATTAGATGGCTAACTGGCGTAGACAACAGTATTCTGAAAAGTTGCTGTAGTTTTGCTTAAAAATTGGCACTGGAATATATACCCTAGGATATTGCCTATATAATCACATCATTAAGTCCTACAATCAGAACAATATTTTCGAAAGGCTCAGGCCTTCTATTTTATCGGTATGTAGTTGAGACAATCCCTTTGTTTGACGGAACATCGTAATTAGAGATCAAGGCTAACATATCTCACAAATAGACTGATAATTAAACTGGCATTATGTCCAAGGCACAAATATCAAATTATACATTAGTCTTGTTGCAAGAAATGAATTTATCATTTAAAAAAGTGCTTTGTGTTGGAAATAAGCAAAAAGAATGAAAATTACGGAAAAAAAGGTCATTGAATCAGATTATTTCTTCCAATCGTTTTGGAATAAACGAGCTTTCTTAATTTTAACAATATATCTCTGCATCTTGTAAGTTTTCAATACAAAATGGGTGACACTTTTTTATCCAATCTTATGTATAACACGGTCACCTTAACCATTTTAGATAAGATAATATGAGATAGAAGCTTCAAAAAAAATTTTCCAATCGAGATGACCCGATAAGCAATTGTTGCTGTAAACCAAGACTGATTACGATAACTGTAGTACTGTGCATGCGACGCAGGTAAGTTTACCTGCCGCCGGCTCAGGTGTGCCGACAGGTGAATCCTCATCAGCCTCGATAGCGCAGTAGGCAGCGCGTCAGTCTCATAATCGCATTAACACCTGGGAAATCTGAAGGTCGTGAGTTCGATCCTCACTCGGGGCATGTTTTTTTCATCCGGCCACGTATCATATTATACATTAGTCTTGTTGCAAGAAATACATTTATCTTTTTTTAAGTGCTTTGTGTTGAAAATAAGCAAAAAGAATGAGGAAAGAAAATTACGGTAAAAAGGTCATTGAATCAGATTATTTCTTCCAATCGTTTTGGAATAAACGAGCTTTCTTCATTTTAACAATACAGGGTATATCTCTGTATTCTTGTAAGCATCGAAGTTATGAAACATAAAGTAAAATCCCTGTCAAGTAATTCATCTAATTAGTTTCGCGCTATCTGTGAGACACGATTTTCTATTTTCAAAAATTCTCGCCAAGTGGTGGTGGGGATGGGCTTTTAATACATATCGATGAAAAAAGCTTTATGTGAAATGATAGAAATATCCATTTTAATGGGTTTGTTGCATCCCTAGAGCTCCCACGCTCCTAAACATTGTCGTTTCCAAAAAATAAAAATAAAATAAAATATGATAAATTATGACATGTGAGTTTAATCTGTTATAAGCTCGTGGGGAGAAAAACAAAACTCGTGTAAAAAATGTGAAAAAAATAAGCATTCATCCTCTAAGGACAGCCCAACCCCCCTCGCAGCAGAATCCCATACAGTGGCGGATTTAGTGGGGATTGGGGGCTCATGGGGGGAGGGGGGGTCCTGAACCCCCTTTCGAGTTCACACTAATTGATAAAGTCCTGGAGATGAAAAGCCAAAAACGATAGATCGAATCATCTTCACACATCAACCCAAGCATCAAACTTTTATGGATACCCAAGTTATCTGAGGCTCCAGGGCTCGAGTCCCTGTTCGGGCGTGCTTTCTATTTTCTTTTTGTTATGTACACGTGTGTCAGTTTTCATTTGCCGGTGTGACAGGAATATAAGTATCCCGCTAGGAACCGTAGTCCGTTCACCAGTACTTTGTACAAGTTACAGTCGTCCCTTATACCCATCTAATACCCAGATTAACCCTAATCTGCACTAATCATATTGGAGCCCGGACTTTCATTCCTGGGAGACCAGCATCGAACATACTTTAATATAATTTAAATGACATACCATACCTCTTCCTTGCCAAGAGGCAGAATGTGGGTGTGAGACCTTGTACGGTTGAATGCGCGGTCTCCATGGCTTCAGCGATGTTGTCAAGCCGACAGTTTTGACGAATTCATTAAGTTTGTAGCCCGTTACTTCCTTTATCGTGGGTGCCTTTTAACAACCCTTGCAAGTGCTTTTCGGAGGACTTGTACTGGTCGTGTTGCAGTGCAAGCTTTTCTAGGAACACTGACAATATACCGATCAGGACAGAAGCTGACCGACAAGTTAACATAAAATGAAAGATAGGACCATGTGGAACAATTGTTGTAATTACGAATGGGCTTTTGTGTGCCGCCCTCCCCCAATATGATTGCCTTAAGGTTGAGATTTGTAATTTTGCCTATTATCTGCTTTTCTACTTCTTTGTTTATTTATATCATAACAGTAATTATTAAGCCCCACCCATATTTTGTGGATACCTTTTATTTACTCAATAATTCAGGAATAGATACAGCAGAAGCAGCACCTTCACCATGATTAAGAATGGCAGTCCCAACTCAAATAATCTGGTAAGACACGCCCAGTCTATCACCCACTATAGCTACCACAAAAACTTTACACTCAAACCCAAGATGCTTTAAATGTCCTCCGTCGCACCTTGTTGTATATATATATACTCTGCATTTTAACAGCGTTTGCTTTGTTTCATCCTTTTCGTCCCTTTTAATCAAGCTAAGCAGCAACCGGGCACGTCAACCGGGCTCAAGAGTTTGTAACAGAGGTGGGGGGGAGGTCGAGGCCTTATTTGCGTAGCTTTTGACCTGTAAGGCTGAAAATTGGGGCATCGCCTATTTACGTCCCTCGATCCCTTCAAGCATGATATGACAGTGTAAAACTCGGTCATCACCTGTGACGTCAAGACTGCAAAAGCCGTACACGTACAAGTCACCTGACTCGCTTTGCAAAAGTTGCCCAAGGTGGTTTCATTATTGGACGTCAGACAAGTGGATGGGTACACACTGCGGTTGCTAATATCTTACATCATGAGTAAATATCGCAGCAGCATTATGTATGTCAAGTAGTGTAACTATCGATAACAACTGCGCAGCAGGTAGTAATATGGTGGAATGGAATAAGCAGGCGTGACATTTCACAACGTAAGAAGGTCACAGGTAAAGTATTCCATTGATATTATTTCAAAAGGCAAATATTGTTCATTTAACCAACAATGGGGTGTTACCGACTATCGGCGGACTTCCGAATTTTTGGAGCTACAAATATCATTTTTGAGATCGATACAGAGCGACCTACGCTATACTTTCAGACTTTGTCACAAAATGGCAGTCTCGTCCCCGTATTACGTACTACCGACAGAAATCACACTTTTAGGATGATGCCGTTTACTAAGCTAATTTGATAAGCTGATTTTGATACATTTCACTGTAATTGCACTGCTCCTCATTAAAATGGAATCATCCCCAGAAATGCACTGCATGACGTCACGCCTAGCCCACTGCGCATGCGTGCATTTTTAATGAGTTGCTAGACTGCCATAGGAAAATGAATGGGTTCGATATTCGTGGGTAATTCGTGAGAATTGACAAAACTAACGGCCTGATGCCGATAGACAGCAACGCTGTGCTATGCATCAAGCAACTCCTGACCAAATACCGCTAGGGTTTTAAAAAAAATTCTGTTGTACACACGTACTAAGAAGTTCGCCGTGTATTGCCTAGCCTACCCTCAACAAAACGCAAATATTTTCAGTAATAGTGATTTTAGACGGTAGATTCACTCAGAAACAAAGGCAAATTAATTCGTTGCCGATAGCACCAACAGATAGCAGCACCATATAGAGTCTGATTAAAAACTTCCATGGCAATTGAAGAACTTTTACCATTGTACAATGGAGTCCAAAAAAAGCACTTGGCACAAATGTATAACTGTCAGTGCAAGGCCAAGAATTCAATCAGGATTTTGAATCATATTATCAGATCCTACATAAATTGACTGACAATATCACTACTCAGTATTTTACTAATCTCTTGATCCAAAATTCCTATCATCATTTAATAATTTTGCAAAATTCTTCTTTCAGATTGCTATTTATTTTAATTTTCAATGCTGCAACTGTTCCAAAATAATCTTGTAATAAAGGAAAAAATGCAAATAAGAAGTGGAAGACCAATTGTACCCACAACATTCAATTATTTGAATATAAAAAGAATACGATCACGATTTAACAAATTGAAATAATATTTCATTAACTCTTTCATGAATAACATATTAAACAAAAATGAAAGTTATAAATCAGTGGTAATTTTTACATATAATAGCTTATTCTTGAATATATGACCTCTGTACATCATCAGTACCTGACTTGGTACAGTATAGTTACTACTTGGATACAGAGTTAGATTTAATAATGTAACAATAAGAACAATATATATTATAAAAGTAAACTTCTCTGCACAAATCAGACGCTTGTTATCATAAACTAACACTACTTGACAATGGGCTGAGCACTTATCACAGAGTCTGTGTGCGATGCCATTCTTGTGCTGTGATTGGCTAGTTGAGTCACGTGAAGCCCTACTGTTGCGCCCTCGCGTATCACGTGAATGCTGCACATTTCTGGCCATGAGACGTGGCTATCATGTACAGTACCTCTACCATGGACCCCTCTCACTCTCTTTATCTTTCTAACTTGCTACTTGATTTGTAAAACAAAGTTTCTTTTCGAAACTTAAAAAAAATGGCATTACGTTTTACTTCAATTTCAAGATTGAATCTTTTATTTTAGGCTTATCAATGGGTTTAGTAGTGTCTAATTGTCCCCTATAACGGTCATTGCATACTACCAATTTCTGAAGAATATTTGAGGATTCCATGGACATTTATTGTGATGTTTTTGGCACCAAAATCCTATGTTTGGAACCTCAGGAAATATTGCAGTGCTCTGCTTACTAAATAAAATAGTATCAGACATACTTTTATCTGCCAGTTTATTACCTTTTGATTTTTCAGATAACGAGATAATTCCACGACAAAACATCCGTCATTTGATGACAAAGTTACCTTCCCTTATCATAGCACATAATCAGGGAAACGACATTAAAAGATTGACAAAAAAATCCCCATTCGTTTTAAACACATGAATGTTATGGAGGAACTCTGATGAAAATCATACGTTTTGTCAAAGATATTGATGCCGCTTGCGAACACATTGTTTTAGAACAGTGACAACTCTCCCAGCAGCTACGACATGGCTTACAGACAAGCAGTAACAGGTGAGGACATTCTTGATCTCTTACGTAGGATACAGTTGTCTCCAAAGTCAACGCTACCACACAATGTATTGGAATTGACTGAGCTTGGCATAAACTACACTGATATAGACAGTCTACCAGAGTCCATTAGCGAATGCAGAAAAGTTAAGAAAATTTTTGCCAGAGGTAACAAGTTAACTTCTTTACCGCAGTCCATATCCAACCTGCCACATCTCACATTTTTACACCTAGACGAAAATAAGTTCACTGCATTCCCCACATCACTGTATAGTCATAATAACCTCCGCAAGCTTTACCTATCTAACAATCAAATATCGGACATATCGGACGACATCAATAGGATGGACGAGCTTAGCGTATTCTGGCTCAGTAACAATGCCTTCACCACCTTCCCTGCAGCGTTGTGTGGCATGACTAACCTTACGGAGCTGCACCTAGAAGGCAACCAGCTAGCTGATGTACCTAGTGAGGTTAGTCAGATGGAGAAGCTTACAAAATTCTTCCTGAGTAAGAATGCCTTCACAACATTCCCCATAAATTTATGTGGCATGACGAATCTAAAGGTTCTCCACATGGAAGAAAACAGAATTTCTGAAATCCCAGGGGAGATCAATAAAATGGAACTGCTTAAGTTACTTAACCTTGCGTCTAATAACATCACTCACCTGCCGCCTCAGATGAAAACTATGAAAAACCTAACAAAACTTGACGTGGCCAAAAATCCACTGGTACAACCACCAGAGGACATTGCAAGGAGAGGAGTTGATGCAATCAGGAAGTATTTTGAGGCATTTACTGACCTACCCGGACGTGGATTGGCTTTCATCACTATAGCGGAGGGCAGAGGCAAGAAGGCTAGCACTGATGTGAAGAGGACCATTCCTGAAAAGTTGAAAAATGATCTCTTACAGTGAGTTATTTTTCTTTAATTCTATGCTTTTCGTGTTTATCATTTCACTGTATAATTTGAGTCATTGATATGCACTTTCCGCATCTCTCTGGTTTTGGGGAAGGCAAGTGAGATTGGTTAATTGTTTCTAAATGTTAACTAAGGTTTCTCTTCTGCATCTGGTTCACCGGGAACCAGACCCATTCATCCCATAGCAAAGCCTTGGTTAACAATAAAAGTTTTCTCAACCAACAGATAAAATGTAAGTGCTTTACAATATTTTTGACTCCTTTGTCAGAGCATTAGAATAACGGTATTAACCTGTGAGACGGAGGAGAGCATTCAGCACAACGTTTCTATCATGCATGTTGCTTGGGGAATTTTTTCACTGAGATTTTTTTTTTCAGATTTGAGTTTGTCGACATGTTTGGTTTTGGACAGGACAGCTTTCAAATATATGTCTGCAGAAAGCACTTTGAAAGTAACACCGATCTTGACGTGATAAACAAATTGAAGACCTTAGTGGAGGAACATGGGGTGGATGGCAAAGTAGTAGCCCACATATCGTCTGCTCCTCGACGGTTATCATATTTCTGTGGCAAGGAGCCACCCTGGCCAGCAGTAAAAATTGTAAAAGAAAATAATAGATATGGATCCCTTGGCAGTTACTGTCGCACAGATGAAGCGGATTCTAAAGTCTATGTCCTCACCAATGCTCATGTCGCCAGCGAAGGAGATATAAGGTTGATTCAGCCTGGTGGATCTCAAGTTCAGAGTGATAATGTATGCATGCATCAGCGTGTTGGTGAATGTAATTGGAGCATTTCTACAGGCACACCTTCTTTTGTTGACATCGCAGCCATAAATGTCCCAAGCCTTGGCCTTCGCCCTGGGTTTGAGAGTGGCCCCGCAGTTAGCGTCTTTAGTGGGGATATTGAAAGCGTTGTCGGCCATCCCGTCTATAAACATGGTGCCCAATCGTATCGTACTAAAGGGACAATTGTAGGTATCGATTTTGTATCGCGTGATGAAAATGCAGGTGTCTGTAAAGGGTTTCTTCGTGTGCAAGGTCAGAATGGCACTGCTTTCGCTAGGCCTGGTGACAGTGGTTCGCTGGTTCGCTTGGCAGAGGACAATAAACCCCTAGCTATGATTTTTGGAGGTGACATAGAAATGAGAGATGAAGGAAATGGAAATCATCAGGGCGATGAAGGAAATTCTAATAATCAGGGGGAAACCGCATGTTTTTTATTTAGCGAAGGATTAATGAAGTTAGAAAGAGAATCGGGTAAAAAATTTCTAATGGTGGATGAAACGCAACTTCAGTGCTTGATTGAAAATTTCAATGGGTAATGTTAGTCTCCTACAAAACGCTTTTAGTCAAATGCAATCGTAATTGTCAGATGATTGTACTGCGGAGTTTATCTGGCATTGTATGCGGACATATGTTGTATTCAGGTATATGGCATTTCAATGAAATTTAAATTTGCATAATTGTACCACTACTATTGCATGTATATGAATCATTTTGAATGTTTGAGTGCAGCATTCCAATTCCCATGTTGTTTTCATCACCCTGCGTTTGATATTGGCAAAACTATAACTTTTATTAGCAAGAGCAAAGCCATGTTGTGCTGTTCGTTTATAAGGATACAGCAGGGGGATTTGCCACTACTATATACAACAGTAGAGCAGAACAGAGTGTATTTTATATAAATATCTCTTGTAGAATTCTAGGGCTCTGGTTGGCCAGTTGCAATGCCCTATTCTGTATAGTATACACATGTTAACATGCCACTCATTATTACCATTATACAATGGATGAACTTGTTTGTTGGCCTCTGATTGGACGGCTACCGTTCTTTGCTGAGTGACATTTTTTTTTTCTGGGCTTTTGATTGGTCAATTGCAAAGTCGTTTTCAAATATTGCTTTTCCGATATAATATGTCACTTGCTACTGTGCATGTGCCTGTATTTATGAAGTTATATTGCTATGAATTCAATTTCCGTATAATTGATGAGAAATTTAGATATTTAAAGCTATTTGATTGTTAAAAACGTTAACTGTTTATTTTTATCTTTAAACATCATAAGTGTAAAATGTGCACTGCCAATCACATATACTATCAATAAAATGCAGATTAATCAACAAAACCCAAATCTTACTTTCCGTTTTACTTTGAAAATGCGGTATGAAAATAGAGCACTGTATCTAGCGTACTGCATAGAATGAAAGAATTAGGGTCCGAGGCTGTATACATATAAGTGGGAATTTTTCTTCATAGTTCACATAGATATACTTCATTAGCATATCTCTAGATGCAAAGCCTCCATGGCCGGGAACCTGCTTTCTTTCCATTCAATTTGAAATACCGGGAAACATAAGTAGATTGGCAGTCGAAGTACAATGAATACGAATCAAAATGTAATAAATAATCGAATGCAGAATACAGACCAAAAACCAGTTCAGATTCAGTATTAATGTCGACAAGTGTGACCTAACCTTAAATATCCCTTTATGAACATAACACTATTAAAATACATATTTTGAAGGTATATCTGCCAGAAATTCTGTCTCCTCGGGCGTGTTGGTCCGACCCAAAGCTTCATTTCTTTGCGGATACCGTCCAAATCTCTCCATGACTTCCTGAAATATTTCAATTTTTATAAAAATATATATTGGTCGAAGTGCATCGTTGATTCAAGGAAGATGAACAATTTTGTATCACGCCAGTTTTTTTAAAATGAAAAATAAACAAGAAAGTCTTTGTTTTAGATGTTACCATCGTAGGTTTTGATATGGAAGCCGCCATAGAATTAAAAATGTTGGCAAATGTACATTTACCAGGACAAATGTTTGGTAAAAGGTGAACACTTTACACTTACTGACCCATGAATAGGGACAGGGGTGAAGGTGGGGGGGGGGGGGTGGAGTTGGACAGTTCCATCTACCTGACACTTATAAGCCCACTATACCACCTAGCGGTCAGTGAGTGTCAACATCTACAGGTACTCATATTAGTCTGATGAACGCCTTCGCGCAGGTTGGCGGTATGAAAATATTTCGGCTTGTGTTTGATAATTTTCATTCAAATTGAATCATTTTGAATTTTTTATAAAAAGGGGCGACTTACCGCGTGAAGTTTTGCGAATAGTTTGAAGTTTTCAGCCATTGCAGCAAAGGCAGTGCCCTTAAAGTCTTCTGCAAGTTCCGCGGTCAAACGTAGGCACAATTCCTGAAACAATGAATATAAGTTTGACCCACATATTGTAATCCTTCGATACCAATTAGTGGTGGTGTTCAGTTCTTACATACCGTTCATGTGATGCTTTATCTCGTAACGTTAAAAAAAAATCCTGTAAAGTAGCGTGTCTAGTCAGTTACAATTTATAAATTTAGATGCCGTGATTTCAACAGTATGAGATGCAATTTTACAACTCAGATAATAGCGTTTAACTTACGTTGTTAGATTAAATACCACATGTAAATACTAGCAGTTTTGCGATTAGGTACGCAATTGGTAAGTTATTAAGGCAAGAGACAGAGAGAGAGAAGGCACCTGAGATTCCATATTTTCGTGGTGTTCCAGAGGAATGTAAATAAACGCTCTTTCCGAAAAGCTCATGTCCCTGTGGTTCCACACGGCACTTGGACCTGTAAACTGAAATAAAAGAGGTAATAAATATATTGTCACTGACATTTATAGCGCATGACCACTAGTTCAGAAACGTGCTTACACTTGTAAAGTTTTCCTTAAAACTTAATTTTAGAAGGCACACAGCAGAACACGTATCGAAATAGCACCTACTACATGTATCTATGGTTTTTCCTACACCTGCTTGAATTTGCAGGAAATATACAACTTTTTTTCTAAAATAATGTGTATGAATGAAAGACAAAAACACTATTTTACTGTTAAATGTGTGTGTGTGTGTGTGTGTGTGTGTGTGTGAGCTCGCTTTTGAGTGTACAATACATTGCCACTCTCCATTCTCCGTATAAACCGACAGCTCTTAAGGGCATTCTTATTCAAGTCTTGCCCACCCTGCGTCTCAATGGCCACAGGAAACCCTCACTAGCACACCGTCCCTTCCACAAAACCTGGCACTGAAAACGACAGAGGGGTCCTGGTAATGACGACAGGGTTCCTGTGACCTTTGTTGACCCAGGGTATCTTCCCCTTACCTTGTCCACAATTCTCAGGGCCCTGGCCTCTCCAGAGAACGCCTTGGCTGTCCCCTAGGCAAAAAAGTAATATCATTAAAGCAATGGTGGTAATTATATTATCTACGTATTTATCCACATATATTAGAAATGACAAAAAGGTATTTTGGGGGCACACTGTAACTTTCTCTCCACTTTTTACAATCATGGACAAAATTATGTCCAAGTTTCAATGTACATTGTTTTAACGCTATTCTTTCAAATTAACGCATTGCGTATAACAGCCGACAATAAATAAATGAATAAATAAAAATGGTAAATTCCTTGAAAAGTTCAACATGGGTCTCAGTTTTGAATCACTAGTAAAGGTGGTGAGTGAATTGAACTTGTGACAGTAAAATCGAAATTTAAAGAAAAATTGAAAACAATTTATAGGATATAATTATTTTCCCCACTTTTTGGACAGAATATACCTATGTAGAGTTTTACCAACGAAACATCGATAATTACACAAACAAGCAATAAATGAATTAAATAAAAAAACATTACTTTCAAAGACTCACAATTCAGCCTTTTTATTCTGCAAGCTTGAACAATACATCTAAAGGTTAAGACTGCATGATCTGGAAAAGCGCGTTTACCTTAAAAAGACTCCTTGGGAACTGGTCAAGTAAAATTATCAGGGCAAAGGCTCCCTTGGGATTTTCTTCCCAGTCCTCTAGCTCCCCATTCAGCGCTTTCTCGACCTGGGTGTAAGAAAGGCCGACATTTTAGATGGGTATGCTAAAACCAATAGCTGAGAAAGCAAGGACATGCATGCACTGTGTTGCAGAACAACACCGTTTAAAAAGTATTAGACAGAATTTTCATTTTTTCAACTAACCAGATCAGAAAACTTCATCCTGATTTCTTCATTGACACTAGACGGCGCTGCGAACCATTTGTTTTTTACGTTCTCATACGGGTCTCCCTCGCACCAAAATGAGTTGACCTCCGACCAGGTTGTACACGGCGTGACGTAACTGGTCGAAAAATCACGCGAGTTGATGACCTGGACCTTCTGCCACTGTGAAAGCAAAGTGCTGTGTGGACAATGGAAAGTCAAGGATGCTGATGGACACGTAAACGTCGGAAACCTGTTTATACAAAAATATGAGTGCAATAAGCATATAAAAAACAATAAAATAACAGTACACATACGACAGGAAAAATTAGAATATACACAATGTAGAAGGTAAACGTACAAGAACCCTCCCTTGCGCTGTACTGGCACATACATGTACTACTTGTTGCGTTCAATTCTTGTTGTTATTTCTATATAATGATTTCAAAGCACGGTGTTATATGCGTTTTATACATTGACGAAGTACATGTACTGAGTAGGCTTCACTGAAAGCCGTTAGTCCAGTTTTCGGATTTATATACAGGTAGTAATGCCACCATTGTTTCGGAGTGTGCACAATATAGACACACAATGTAATACCGGTCTCTGTGTAGGCTTACTGATTGTCCTATATTCATAGAAAATCTATTCTGTCTGTGCCCTAATATGAGATTAAGCCTCTAGCTGTCACTGACAGAGAACAGTATAAGCAATGCACACTGATATTTCACACACATGTACATGCATCTACACATTATTAATTATTATTATTGAGGCTGTACTTACACTTCCTTATATGCTAAACAACATGCCTGCACGCTGCTAACTTTTGAACACGGTGAGTGTATTGTGCTCCTGCGAGCCAGCCATAATACGCCTCGGCAGCAGGGCGCCGCCATTCCTCTCGGCATCTTGACTACCACCGCCAGTGGGCAGCCACTGGGTTTGACAACAGTCACTGACCACGTCGCTGCCGGCCACAGCGCTAAGGCGACCGGTCGATGATGACCTGGGGTTTATATATATTGCACAGTTTTTATATTAAAGGCCGGCGTGATTTAAGCCATGGCTTTGGTTTATCCAAAACAGTAAATCTGTCTATTTAACTGCGTAGACCTACACTGTAGTTGGACGATTTTAGGATGAAGGCTTGTCCAGTGGCTAGTATATCTGGCCTCAGATATCCTCTGATCGTGTGTACTGATTGCAGGTTTGTTGATATAGGCTCGACATTGTTTACATTTAAAGCTTTTAGTGAGTTTTCAATCGAGGCTATATGTAGGTCTGACCTTCTACCTGTAGTGCACCTAACCTTCTTTAAATAGGATTCCTTTGCAGTATTGCTCTCGGACATTTCTTTAGCGTCGTTGCAGCAGAGGAGCCGTATACACTTTCTTACGTTTCGATGTCAAGGTAAATTTAGGAATGAAAAAAAATAGAACTCAGAAGCTCGTGATGGTTGAAAACATTTTAAAGAATGTAGCGTTAAGGGTAAAACTTTCACATTACTGTTATTTTCTGTACATGTAGGTGAACTCGAAAATAACTAATGTGAAATGGTTCGAAACTACAATAACAGAATAAAAATAAATAATAGCTCCGGGCTTCACAGCATTGTGTACTAGTTTTCAAGAAATGTCTTTTTTTTTTTTTTTTTGACGCGCTAATAAGGATTATTTTGGCCTGTGTTGGTTTTTATAAGCAATCATTAAACCAGCGTTTGCCATTCTTGTGCATAACCTTGACGTGTCACTGTATTTCAGTCAATAAAGCATCCATGTGCAGTTAACAAATACAGAGCACTCACGTTGTTTACTATCTTCACAACGCAAACATATATTCAAAATAAATACATGTATGTTGCAAACGATGCCTTGATGTTTATATTTGATCTTGCGTTGTGAATGACAAAGGGAAGCACACTTCCCTCTCACATTACATATGTTCAAAGGCGTGGATAACATGAGACTTTATAATACTGGCATATGGGTGAATGCCAAGTTGCTTACACCGAACCCTATATCATCAAAAGTACCTACATTATTTTTTGATATACCGGGTGTACCAACGGGTCGAAGGCAGGGAAAAATGATTAGGGTGGGAATGGAAAGGTGTGTTGAGGGGAAAACGTCGAAGGTCTAGACTGAACATGTGAGCAGGTTATTTTCACCGTCTCTGACCATCATGGTCACCACTTTTGATGGTCTGGAAGGAAGGAAAAGGCTAATACTTTATGAAGACCCCCCTCCTCCTCTCCAACAAATAATTACTGCCCTGTGCCAGTTATATGACGTTAATTAATGTTACAGAATGAAACTTCACCCTGAAAAACAAAGTTGATCGTTCATTTCTCCCTGTTATTTGAAGTTAGTCCATGCCGCTTTCACACACCTTATTTTGTTTTATTTTCAAATATATTTTTCAACATTTATTTACATATATAATCACATGGACACTAAACGGACTCTACAGAATGCCTGGACTCTGAGTTATCAAATACTGACCTGTACTCCTTATACACTGAATGCATTACCCTAAACATTCTTCTTTCCAATGGCATTGAGTCTTTATTCTGGACCCATCTGATTTCTTTTGCTTTGAGCACTATGGTCACCAAAGTTCGCTCAAAATTCATTATGCAATGACAAATAATGCTGCATTTTGTATTTTACTAAATAGACAAGAAGTGATCTAGTCGTATACAGTGATGCTATCTTGAAAGTCGTTTTAAAAATGGTAAAATTGTACAATGTCTGTATCCGTACGTTAAAAGCGGTATTTGGCCGGTATGTTGGCTAGAAACTCTTCTTCCTCTGGCGTGTTCGCCCTGCCCAGTGCAGCGTTCCTATGCGGATAGCGTCCAAACTGGTCTATTAACTCCTGCAATGAGAACCGCGCAGTGCCAACAAATTATATGAGGTCATCTTTGATTAATGTACTCTTTGTATATAAAACATCGCGTACCATTTTGATATCTACATATTGAATGATAATAACACATTCGTCAATCAAGATCAATGGCGGATATGGGGGGATGAGGTTAACAGCAGGGACATGGCCCCTTTGATACAGAGAAACCACTTCTACATCGTCGGAATGAAAAAAAAAGAAACAAAAAAGGAAAAAAAAAAGAAGCAAAGATATATCAATTGGTAATCTAATTCTGGAGATCGACTCACTATGTAAATGAACATGCTTTTTAAACGCGTTTAACTCATCCTGACTGTCAAATGTCACTGAACATTCTATTTGCCGTCAGCGGATATTCACAACAACTTCTAAACCTCAGGGTGCATTTCACTTACCTTGTGGACGATTGCATATTTCAAACAAGCGGCCGCAATCCATTCATTTTCTGTGCCTTTGTAGTCTTCGACGAACTCCTCGTAGAGTTTTACAGATAATTCCTAAATGTAATGTACAGGTGGTCATTTAACATTCACTTATATAAAAGAAAATGTAAAGTAAAAACCATGATCAAGCAGATATATGTTGAAGGAACGTGTATTGTAAGTGTATATCAATCTCACAAACCATACTGTCCACAACAACACGGTGATGAAAAACAACGAATCAACTAGTAAGTAAATAGGTCTGGTGTGGGAGCATGCGAGGCACCCTACACTGGAAAACACACACACACACATACATATACATACGTGCGCGCACGCACACACCCACATCATGAACTTTGTGATACCTGCGATTCCTTATTTTCATGATGTTCTAAGGGTAGATAGACAAACTGCTTCTCTGCAAAACTTCTGTCTTTGTGATTCCACTTTGCGTTGGGACCAATAAACTGAAAAGGTTATTTCAAAAAGAGGCTATAAGGTCCTAAAGGACGATCGTTTTTAATATAAAGAACTTTATACTTTCTTTATGTCAACATTAATGGTCTCTTTATTCTTAAGACCTACGCTGCCTTTTAGGACGGCGTGATGCGGGATAAATTAAATGAGTGATTCTGAGGTATACATTTCTTTTTGTCACACCAAGGAGTTATAACTCC